TGGGATAAAGTGTACTGACATCTACAGCTCCTGTTGAAATGCATGAAAAAGATAAGATGACTTGGTAGGTAGATGGATATAAAGATTATTAAGCAAATATAGCAGAATACTAAAAATTATATAATCTGGGTGGTGGATGTTCACTGTTCAAGTCTTTCACCTTTTTCTGTGTTTAAAAGTTTTTCATAAGAAAATACTAGGGGGGAAAAAGGAACAAGAAGGAAAGTAACAGGTATTGAAAACAGGCAGATAAGAGTCAACATATGAAATAAAACCAAGATGAAACAGAACAAATACTGAGTATATACTCAAATATAATTTGAGTACTTTAGTATAATTTAACTAAACTTTTTTGAAGTGGAAGACTTGAAATTATATATTGAAAGAGCACACTCATACCTGAGAATATCAACCAAGGATGACTGATATTATTGGACTTAAATAATCCTTTGAGCTTCTAAACAAATGAACAAATGACTTATAAGGGAGACAAAATTACATTATAGACATTTTCATAGCAGTGTTTGGAGGAAAAGAAATTTTAAAAATTAACATGTTTTAAACACTCAAGGAAAGAAAATGTTAGCCAAGGATTTTATGGCTAGCAAAATCGACTTTCAACTATACAGAATTAGACAAGCTATTACCATCATGCAAGAATTTAAGTATCTTTGTTTCCCTGACTGACCCTCAGGGAGTCAACTGAAGGATGAACTTCAAAGAACCAAAATCACTAGAGGGCCAGCAGCAAAAGAACTGAATGTGAGTGCCACTCGTAAGACTAAGACCAGAAAGAAGAAAGAAGAGAATATCGTCTGTAATGGCTGTAGGCTGCTGTTGTTCAGTTGCTAAGTCATGTCTAACTCTTTATGACCCCGTGGACTGTAGCATGCAGGCTTCCCTGGCTAGCTAAGTGTGTGTATACACACACACACACACACACACACACACACACACACATATATGGCTATATACGCTGACAGTATAAAGGACAATTACATAAAATGATTGGGAAAGGATAACCATAAACAAAAAATGTCAACTGCTTTTATTAATTATACTGGTGATGGTTTAAAAACATTAGTACTGTTTTTCTGAGGCTACTGAGTAATGTGATATAGAGCATGTTAATAATTATGGGATACATGGGGGTAATTATGAGATCACTTAAATGATATGTGTAAGGATATTGTAACTGCATAAATTGAGCCTGGAACATCTTATCATTCCAGACCAGCAAGGACTATTAAAGATTAGGTTCACATCAGGAGGACTTAGGAATCCACTTGAAGTGTTATTTCAAGTTTCACTAAGGATAATAATTGCAGTGGTTTGAAGCCCATCCAATATGTTTAATTTTGTGAGTTCATATGATGTTAAAAACTAATTGGTTATCATGGAAGATGATGGAGAACTAATTCATTTTCTTAAAAAATGGTAAACAAAGAGAAAGAGCCAGTCACTTATCCTGGCTTTCCTGAATGAACTGGTAGGACTGGGTAACCAAATCATAGATTGAGGGGACCATATTTCTATGAAATATTCCAACTATATAATAAAAAAGAATTGATAGAGTTAGAATATCACTATATTAAAACTCTCAATGAATAGTAAATCAGGCATTGACCAGTAATGGCTCCGATAACAATACCAACATAGAGATAGCCGGATATTATGTGTTCCTCTTTTTAGAATATGACATCAGCAATAGTTTTGTCAAAGGGGTGGAGCCTGAGTCTGATCAAGTGTCTGGGTCCAGCTACCAATTTGCAAAAAATAGAATTTGCACTATGAAAATGTCATCTGCAAAATCTACTCTGAGAAAATTAAATCATGTAATATATTTGAAGGCATAAATATAAATTCTTAGGAAAACATGAGATAACTAAAATGGATTGGAGATGGAAGAGAGTGGAAGTAGAAATAAACGTCAATTGCTTCCTTGCTTGTGGTGGAAGTATATAGAGAAGATAGCATAACAAAGGCATTAGGGCAATGTGTCTAATATATCAGTTGATGGACTAAACTAATTTACTAAAAGATTCTGAGGATCACAAAGCAAAACTCAACTGTATTTCATGTACTGATTTGGAGATGTCTCTGTATTAACTCATTAAAAAATACAAGTGTAATCTATTATGTTGAAGGATGATGTACATTCAAGTTTTGACAATTTCTGGCAAGTTTCACAATCTGCTGGTGATGGTTTCCACACAAAACTACTATTACCTCCAAAGAGGTGCTCTCCTGGTCAGCTGAGAAATGGGAGTGGACTGGAGACTTAATTTTTGCTATATACCTTTAAAAAACTTCCAAATATCACTTATTCAAAAAATCAGTAACTTACATTAAAAAAAATCCTTCCCAACCTAGTCTTATGTTCAGCTGAATTGCACATTCATAGTACTAGGCACTTACAGAGAACGTAAAGAAACCCTTAAAGAGACTGATGAACATAAAAAGGATCGAAGCCATAGTGTGTAATGAACAAAGAAGTAAGTAGAGGTCCCAAATCTAATTCATTACCACCCTTCTGCTGCCTTCTACCAATTCTTTCTCTCTCAGGATATTCATGATTGGCTATGTAATGACCCTTTTAAAATATGACTTGACTGATACTGGGCACCACATTTACAAGTGTCCTGGGAGAAGTCATAAAGAGTTGACTTGGATCTGAGAGCATTACACCAACAAGAAGTATGCACTGCAGAAATCCCACCCTTTGGGCCTGGCGGCAGTGACTGAGAAGGTGGAGATAGACCTGGCAGGGCCAGTGAGTACCAAGCCCCTCGAGCCCTTGAGAGTAACTGAGTTGGCTGGTATACTGGCAGCCATGTGATGCAGCAGGTCAGCGTTCAGATCCAGGATGCCTGCAGGGTGCTCTTTGTGTCCATGTTCTTCATGTTCCAGACAGAACCTAAGGAGATCAGTGGTCATACCTCTGGTATTAAAAAGGCTCTGTGGTGCTGTGAGGATAAACAGATTCCTTCAGCTGCTGATAAAACTGTTCTACTTTGGGATCACAACTGTGACAGAGGTGAAATCTCTAAATTTTGATGTCTTTAGTAGGATGGGATGTATTCCCAAGGGAATGCCTGGTGGTAACGTGTGGACCATCTGTTGCTTTTCATAGTGCAGTAAGTTTCGACTCAAATTCTTTGAAGCTCCTGCAACCATCAATTCTGCATCTCTTCACCCTGAGAATTTCTTGTAGCAGCAAATGAAGATTTTAAACCTTATAAATATGATTATAATAGTGAAGATGAATTAGAATCCTACAAAGGACACTCTGGTCCCATTCACTGTGTGAGGTTTAGTCTGATGGAGAACTCTATGCCATTGGTTCTGAAGATGGAACATAGAGACTGTGGCAGATTATGGTAGGAAAACCTATGGTCTTTGGAAAGGTGTGTTTCCTGAAGATAGTAGCGAGCTGGCAAACCTGAGGATCAGTTTTTCAGAGACAACAGAGGAAGAGAGAGAAGAAATTGCTTCAGAGAATTCAGATTCCATCTATAGTTCAACTCCTGAAGTTACGGCCTGAGCATCAGACAGATGCCACAGATAGTACACAAATTACAGAGTAAAACAAGCAGAGAGAAGCATCAGCCTCCGAGTTACTCTGTGCTTAAGGCAAACGTGAGCAGTAAATAATGAGGAATATGAATAAGCTCCAGTGCTAGAACTTACCAAAACACAAGAGTATCAGATGAAGACAGATGGAGTTATACTCTTGTAGTCCAATGGTCTGTTGTCTTTTTAATGAATATGTATAAGCCAGCATTCAATCTCTCTTATTACAGTTAGATTTCTGGTAGCTGTTTATGTTATTATGAAGAGGGGAAATGTATTGGCTTATTTTTCTGACTCTTCCCTTAAAGCAGAAAGCTGGGTTGGTTTGTTTGTTTGCTTTAGTTACAAAGAAGAGGGAATACATGATAAAGCAATGGGTTTGACTTCTCTTTCATTGTACACTACTTCTGAACATCTAATTGTTTTGCCTTGTCTCAATAAAATGCTTCTAAAACAAAGACATCTCACCCTTTGTTAAGGGTCAGTCCTTTAGAAGTGTTTGGACTCCGTGTTCCTGTGATCTTCTCTAAGGTGATTAAGTCAGGGCAAGGATTTATTTCCTTCTAACACCTAATTAGTCTTCCCAGGTGGTGCAGTGGTAAAGAATCCTCCTGACAATGCAGGAGAATCAGGAGACATGGGTTCAATCTCTGGGTCAGGAAGATCCCCTGGAGGAAGAAATGGCAACCCACTCTAGTATTCTTGCCTGAGAAACCCCATGAACAGAGGAGCCTGGTGGGCTACAGTCTGTGGAGTCACAAAGAGTCAGACACGACTGAGCAACTGAACACACACTCACTTTATTAGCAAGCACAAACTTAACTAATGCACTGTGCAGTTTAAACCAGACATATTTGTTATTTATTTTATATATATTCTCTTCTGTCTCTATTTGGTATAATTCTTTTTTCCAAGGTAAGAAAATCAGTGTGCTGTAGAGAATACACTTGCCTATTTATCTCAACTTCAAGGGTGAAATAATAAGCATAGTTTTAAGGAAATATTTTAAAATAGTATTATTTTATTGCATGTGAAAAGTGGTAGTGAATATTCTTTCTGTGAACATAGAGAAATATCAACAGTTTTGTTATGATTTCTGTATTTTGTGTGTTCCCCTCTTTTTTAAAAAAAAACTTTTGCTTTATAATCGTACATTGTGAAAAATGAGAGGTAAAAATATCCTCTAATTTTCTTTTTAATTACCATATGCTCTAAAAGGAACTTGAAGCTGGCCTAGAAGTTTATGGTGAGGGATTACAGGTTGCTTGGTTTGTATTATACTCACATGAAAGCAAGTATTTATTGAATGCCTGAATTTACTCACCCCTACAACTTTAGTTTGGCATCCAAGTCCCCATTAAAGCATTGTCCATGAAGCATCTGTATGTTATATTCCTGTTTTGTTTTTTTGTTTGTTTTTGTGACAGTTAATTTTTAAAGAGCAACTTTCACCCAAAAAACTGGGCTTCTTAAATGTAATAGAGCTTGTTGGAGCACTTAGTGACATTCTCCATGTTGAGTTCAGGGAAGGAGAACAAGACTTGCTGGTGTTTGATGCTGATATGAAGCCTCTAGCATCTGGTGAGTTGTATTACAGTATGATGCAAACCTGACGTTTAATTATCTCTGTAAGGACAAAGAAAAAGAAGGCATCATTGAGGTAACAGTCTTAATTGTAACCACATCAACCAAACAGATCCCATGTTAGCCTTGAAAATGTTTCGTATATAATGACCTCCTTCCTGATGATGTATGTTGTAATAATGCTACTGTATTAAAATCTGAGTTTTTAAAGTTTGCTTTCTTCATCGTTTAGATTTTTTAATAATTCTGAAGAAATGAATTTTCTGAAACAATGCTCTCATGGGGAAACACTAGGTAGTTCAGTGGGTCTTAACTCGGTTGTTGAACACTGAGTAGTATGTATAATTCTTTTATGTAACTACATTATAGTCCATTTAGCCAGTCTCCTCTCAATGGACATGTAGAGAGTATCCCTTTTTCTATATTATAAAATACACAGTGTTCAATATCCTTGTGCCTACATCTTTGTATAGTTACTAGTGTATTTCTTTAGGAGCTGCTATGGTTTTATGTCTATCTGGAATCCATTTTAGGGTGTCAACCTCTTATAAGTGTCATAAACATGTAAATTTGAACAAAATATGTGATTGGTTTGGGAATTCCCTAAAAATTAAGAGATTGTATTATGGAATATTAAGTGGTTACATACATTGGGGTTCTGTTGTACATTAGTAGTACAAGTAGTTATATTGTACATTAAGCCACAGTGAATGTTCACAGCTAAAGTTGAACAAGAAATACATTGAAATCAGGATGTTGAAAAATAAAACCTTTCACCAAAGTTTAAAAAAACCTTACCAGACTTATCTTCCAACCCTGCCCCCAATGTAAATAATGTAAGATTTGTTCCCATCTGGAACTTCCCCTTGTGTCTCTCCATACTGAAAGGTCTGCAAAGACAGGTTCGTATCTATCATTATCTGCCCAGTGCCTGGCACATAGAATGTGCTTAGTAATAGTTTACAGACTATTTTAATAGATACACATAGGCTTCTCTATTGGTCATTTCAGATGGAGCTGTGTCATCAGTCAGAAATTCATGTGTAGTTCAATCAGATAAGAAAATAGAAGCCAAAGCTTGTGTGTCCAGTCCCCCTAGAAATTCACTGTCTACTGTTGTTATCAAGGAAACTACTTGGGATTGCCCTTCAAAAAGCCATAAGGAACCAGAACAGAAGATTTTCAAGAAGCCTAATCTGGTGGTAAAACCTTTGCAGCTGGTGAGTATGGTTTGATGTCTGTCTTCATGTACTGGAGATTCCACATTATGAACAGTAACTGAATGAGTGTTTCTTTAGACAAAATTTCTGTTTGAGAACAAGTCTTATTTCTGGACATATGATTTCTTAGAGAAGACCAGAACTTTGGTCTGAAGTCATCTTATACAGCGTTTATCCTGGTTTTCAGTCTTTTATATAACTGGCTTTCCTTGAGTCTCATTTCAAAGTTTTCAGTTGGCTTTGAAGACCTGACTGTTATTTGAGGATAACATTGCTTGGCAGACATTGATTCTCTGTCCATGTGTTTCAGTAGGCTTGAAAACCCTCAGGGCTTCAGAGGGAAGAATTGAGAAGCTTGGCTGTAACTGTTCTCAGCACTGCTGCAGGTTGCCCCTGCACCTAGCCTCAGTTGTAGGGTACTTTTCTCTTTCACTTGATCTCCACACACACACTTCTCCGCTTTTGTGTTCTCATCTCCTGTTAGTTACGTCGTCATTATTAAGGTATTAGTTGCTCCCTCTTCTTCCCTTTTGCCCTTTACACCTGGCTTCTTCCGTGGAGAGAAAACATTTTGTGTGGAGAGCCTGCTGTATTTTCTAGAGGACGACAGAAAAGCCTAATGGAAAATAGTATATTTTAGAATAAAAGTGTTTGAGAAGCCCCATTTTTGGTTGGAAGAGTAGTCTGGATTTTAATCCATTCTTTAAAGTTGCCTTTGTTGGTAGGATTGGTCAGGATGAGGCTGTAACTTAGTTCACCCTCAGTGTTTGAAGCAGCATGTTTTCGGTTTTGCACAGGGTGGTTGTGTGTGACACACTTTTAAATCTCTTTATGTAATAATGTAAGACAGTACTTTTTGTACTTTGAGGTAGGTAAGGATCATCTTGGAAATTGTTTTAAAGGCATAACTGTGGGTCTCACTCACTTGCAGATATTCTGAATCACTGAATCTGGCCTAGAGCCTAAGAATTTTCATTTTTATAATTTGCCAGGTGTATCTTGTAAAGGTAACTCATGAAATATACTTTAAGAAACATTGTCAAAGTTTGACATGTTACTCAAAGATTTATAGTGGTTTCTTTGTTTGTTTGTTTTTAATTTGTAGCAAATAGAAATTAACAAATCCCAGCTCAACTTGGCAGTGGCAAATCATGACATCCCACCAGATGCTGTGCAGGACAAGAAGTTATGCAGACTGCCCCCATTAGATACCAGTACCCTCGTGGGTGTCTTTGTGGAGTATATAATCTCTCCTAGTCAATTCTACATCCGAATCTACAGCAGGGATTCATCAGAGTTACTTGAGGACATGATGATTGAAATGAGGTAGGAATCTGTTATTTGCAATGTATTTTTCATGTATCTTGTTAAGTCAATTCTCAAACATTTTGGTCTCAGGGGTTTTAAAAATTAAGGACTCAGGAGAGCCTTTGCTTATCAGTATTTATTGTACCAAAAATAAAACTGCGAAAATGTAAAATGTTGTTTAAAAATCATGATAAGTTCATTTTTCTGAATATAACATTTTTATGGAAAACAGCTGTAGTTGGCTTACTAGAAGAAAGTTGTATTTCAGTATCTGTTTCTGTCTTTAATTTCTTGAGATACATTCTCTTGGTGAAAGTTTATGAAAACATCTGGCCTCACATAGATACATAGTTGGGAAAGAGAGTATTTTAACAGCCTTTTCAGAAAATTGTGAATACTCTTTTGATGGTATATGAAAACTTGACAAGTAGTGGTGTCTTAAAGTTAGATGTAATGTGGAATTTGAACTTTCCAAACTCTACTATGTTAAAATACATTTTCTAACTTTGCACTTATCTTAGCTATTTGTAAGGCCTCCTCAGACAACAATTTTGCCTTTCTTTTTCTTGGGGATGGTCTTGATCACTGCCTCCTATACAGTGTCACAAACCTCCATCTATAGTTCTTCAGGCACTCTGTCTATCAGATCTAATCCCTTGAGTGTGTTTGTCACTTTTCACTGTATAAGTAAGCATAGAGATCTTCTAAGTGTGGACTCACTGGAACTGGCCCTCAATTTTACCACCATTTGTGATTTTAAAACATCATGCATTGGTCTTTTGGAAAATACTGGTGCAGTGAGTTATATACATCTTCCAAATGTGGACGTTTCATCACACAGTATATTTTTAAAAATCTCACTCATTAGTATCTCTGATATCATCAGAAGAGTATTATGCATTAGGAAGCTATCAAGCTCACGGTGCTAGATATAACATTTGGAAAATCCTAATTTTAATTGGAAAGCTTTTAATTTTATCATTGACAATAAATACTGTAAATGTTTTCCTGAAAGTGACAAGCCCACTTCATTCTTGAGAAAGTGTGTGTCAAATACCCAAATCTGAATAAACATAGTTTCTGAGTGGACCTTTCAAGCAAAAATGGTGTTTAATAGTGTCTTATTCATCTTCCAACTAAAAACAATACACGCTCATATACACACAGAGGAGCTAGTTCAGTTCACTACTGAAATCCATAAGTGCTTTTCCTTAAGACAACTTAGGAAGTATTTTACTTATACTTCCATTTTTGTTACAGAGAACATTGAAAAGATAGTCACTCTGTGTTTGAGGTTTAATATGCTTAATAATTTTTATTGCTTTATCATGGATATTCTTAAGTGAAATTAGCCTTTTTTTTTTCTTTTTTAAAAAAAATTTAATTGGAATGCATGGCAGTGAAAAATAAATGACTACTAGTACAGTTGAATGCCACTGGCTTGATTCAGCAAAGGCACCTGGAGTTTCACCCTTTTGTAAAACTTTGTAAAAGCAAAGGCACCGTAGCTTTTATACCATGAATGCAAATATTAACACAGTGAAAAGGACAAATAATTATTTTCATAATAATACATATATTAAAATAGCTTTGATCTTATGAACTCTTTGAAAGTGTGTCAGGGTCCCAGGAATTTGTAAACTGCACTTGGAGAATTACTGCTCTAAATTATCTTTTCTCTATTGAATAATGATGTCTTTTGGTAGTAACCACTGTGTAAAAATGTTTATGTTTTCATTCACTTTAGATTTATTAATGAACAGGAATCTGATTTTTACATTGGTGTCACATATAAGAGTAATTTATTTTGTATCTCTCCAAAAGCATACTGTATTTTTTCTAAGTCAACTATATCACTATATTATATACTATATGCCAAGAATACTTGGTATAATGTTACATAATGATCACTTAGTAAATTTCTATTTGAAGAAGTTTATTGGTAAAGAGAAAGGATTTGGATATGAAAAAGAAGATTAATTGGTATCAGTAATAAGCATTACCAAATCAGAAAAAGTGAGAATTTTTGTTTGCTTTTTGCCAAGATTTCCTGCTCTTGATACATCAATAAAAATGATCTTTAATTTTTTTCTTTTTCTATGGATTTCTTTTATGGAATTCTGCAGGCGCTGTTATTCTAATCAGTTGGTTTCTGATCGCTATGCCATGGAAGAGTGTTTTATCCAGCCAGGACATCTCTGTTGTGTAAGGATTTCCGAGGATAAGTGGTGGTATCGGGTCATTATCCATCGAATTCTCGGGAAACAGGAAGTTGAAGTGTTCTATCCAGATTTTGGAAACATTGGAACTGTTCAGAAGTCTTCCCTGAGGTTCCTCAAGTGAGTTAATAAATTCATTAAGAACAATTTAGGTTTGAACCATAATGCTGAGGCTGTGGGGGAGTGAGGACTTCTCTTCCTTTTCTCCTTCCTCTCTTCTTTCTACCCTTCTTTCTTCTTAGTGCAGATTTGGCAAATGGTCACTTAGTTTCAGTTGGATCTCTTGTGTTTTCTCTCATATGGCTGTGAATCTGAATGGACCATGAGACTAAATTTCATTCTCTTATTAAGAAAATGATGCTTTGGGTCATGCTAAGAGTTGCATTTATATATCATGAAGTTTGGACTGTTTCCACCTATATTTTAATTTCATAGTTTTCAAAGACTGTTATGTTTTACAAATTTCTTTCTTAGACATTAGTGTGAAGTGTTAAGACATTTCATTTAAAAATGCGTGCATTAAATACTCTGAAATGGTATAAAAAACTTAAATCAAGAAGTGGATAAGACGTGCACAACAATTACTGAAGCCCACATGCCTGGAGCCCATGCTTCACAACAAGAGAAGCCACCTCAGCGAGAAGCCTGCGCACTGCAGTGAAGAGTAGCCGCCACTCGCTGCAACTAGAGAAAGCCCACATGCAGCAAGAAGATCTAGCGCACTCAATAAGAGATTCCATAAAATGCAGTTTTAAAATATGGTTAAATATTCCTATATTTGTCTGTTGCAGGTGCTGCTACACCAAGCTCCCTGCTCAGGCCATCCCTTGCTCTTTGGCCTGGGTGAGACCAGTAGAGGTACGTTTGTGTGCTTCCCATTTAATCAGCAAGCATTTGATGCCAAGAACAATTCAGAGTTCTCAGGATAAAAAAATAAAGCATGAAAAAGAAAGTCATTGTAGACAGTATGGGAGAAAGGCATGTAGACAAAATTAATTGTACTGTGTCAGATTTCCTAGGGAATTTTATAGCGTATGTTAAAGATACAGCAGGAACAGCCCTTGTTTCTGTTCAAGGTAATCGGAGACGGTGTCTTAAAAGAGGTGACATTTGCATGAAACTTTGAAGGAAGGTTAGCAGCATAATTGAACAAACAAGAAAGACATTCCAGGCAAAGGAAGAGCAGCATGAAAGATCCCAAATTTGAGGAATTTTAAGTGGTTCTGTTTGGCTATGTAATAGAGGACAAGCTGCAGTTGGTGCATGCAAATGATGTCAGAGAAATAGGGACTAAGGTGGAGACCCGTAGCCATGTGCAGGAGTCTGGACATTGTCCTTTATTTTTTTAAAAACTTCATTTTGTATTGTCGTATTTTGTATTATTTGTATTTTGTATTGTCGTATTGTCCCATCCAGGCTTCCACATAACACTGAACAGAGTTCACTTATCTTAGGTTAGGTTTGTTATCCATTTTAAATATAGCAGTGTGTACATGCTGGACGTTGTCCTTTAGTTTCTGGGGAGCAACTAAAGGGAACTGCCACAATCAGAAACACATTTTTTAAAGAATTCTCTACTGACATTGTTATGGGAGATGATTGGTGTGGGATGGAACAGGAGCCATTTTCATCCATATAGATACATATATTTATGTAGTTATAATTACACACCTAATTTTGTCTTTTTCCCCTCAGAACTCTTAATTATACATAAAGTACACATTTGTTATCCCATATTTGTTAGTTGAAATAACTTATCAGTAGCTTCCATTTGTTGTGACTGTTCAGTTGCTAAGTTGTGCATCACTCTTTGAGACCCCAAGGACAGCAGCACACCAGGCTTCCCTGTCTTTCACTATCTCCGAGTGTGCTCAGATTCATGTCCATTGAGTCGGTGATGCTATTTAACCATTTCATCCTTTGCCACCCTCTTCTCCTTTTGCCTTCAATATAGTTATTAGAACTATCTGCTAGTGAAATTGAAGCTTACAAATTTACTCTTTAGGAAACAAAACTATATTATTGAGGTAACATTGATTTATAACATTATATGTTTCATGTGTACAACATTGTATTTTCACTTCTGTATACATATACCTTACCTTGTTCTCACTACCAAAAGTTTATTTTCCATTAGATGACCCAACCTCCTTTACCCATTTTGCCCACACCCTCTTCCTTCCCTGCTGATAACCATTACTCTGTTCTCTGTATATACGTATTTATGTGTCTGGTTTGTTCATCATTTTGTTTTTGTTTGTTTATTAGTTTTTAAATACTCTACAAGAGGGAAATCATGTGATGTTTGTCTTTATCTGACTTGTTTTACTTAGCACAAAATGCTCAAGTTCAATCCATGTTGTTGTAAATGGTAAGGTAACAGCTTTGTTTTTTTTTTTTTTATAGCTGATTAGTATTCCATTCCATTATATTTATATACCACATCTTCTTTATCTATTCTTCTGTTGATGGGCACTTCACTTAGTTCATATCTTAGCTATTGTAAATAATGCCAAAGAATGTGAGGGTGCAGATATATTTTCAGATTAGTGTTTTCATATTCTTTGGATAAATACCCAGAAGTGAGATAGCTAGATCATATAGTAGTTCTGTACTTAATTTTTGGAGGTATCTCCATACCATCTCTCTCTATCCACCAATTTACATTCTCACCAGTACTGTATATGAGAGTTCCCTTTTCTCCACATCATTGCCAACACTTCTATTTCTTACCTTTTTGATAATTGCCATTCTTACAGGTGTAAGGTGCTGTCATATTGTGGGTTTGATTTGCGTTTCCATAATAATTAGTGCTGTTGAGCATCTTTTCATTACCTGTTGGCCTTTTGCATGTCGTCTTTAGAAAATGTCTCTTCAGTTTCTTTACCCATTTTCAAACCAGCCTGTTTTTGTTGAGTTGTATGAGTTCTCTATGTGTTTTGGATATTAACCTCTTATCAGATATATCATTAGCGAAAATCTTCTCCTATTTGGTAGACAGGTAGACAGTCTTGTTATAGTGCTAGTTGCCTTTGCTGTGCAAAAGCTTTTTAGCTTGATGTAGTCCCTTTTATTTAGTTTTGCTTTTGTTTTCCTTGCCTATGGAGACATGTCTAAAGAGAAATTACTAAGACCAATGTCAAAGAGCACACTGCCTGTGTTTTCTTCTAGAAGTTTTATTTAGTCTCGGGTCTTACATTTAGTCTCGGGCTTCCCTGATAGCTCAGTTGATCAAGAATCCACCTGCAATGCAGGAGACCTGGGTTTGTTCCCTGGGTTGGGAAGATCCCCTGGAGAAGGGAAAGGCTACCCACTCCAGTATTCTGGCCTGGAGAATTCCAGAACTGTATAGTCCATAGGGTCACAAAGAGTCAGACACTACTGAGTGACTTTCACTTGCGTTTACATCTTTAGTCCATTTTGAGTTAATTTGTGTGCTTGGTGTGAGACAGTGGTCCATGCCCTAGGTGCAGTGTGCGGGCTTCTCATTGCTGTGGCTCCTCTTGTTGCAGAGCATGGGCTGTAGGCTGCACAGGCTTCCGTGGTTGCAGCGTGAGGGCTCAGTGTGTGGCCCACAGACTTAGTTGCCCTTGCAGCACGTGGGATTTTCCTGGACCAGGGATCAAATCCATGTCCCCTGCATTGGCAGGTGGAGTCTTAACCACTGCACCACCAAGAAAGTCCTCTTTGGTTCTTTCTTTCTTTCTAGTTTCAATCTCTTTGGTGAAATATTCCTTCTGTTCATTAATTTTATTCACGAGCTCATTAAACTGCCTTTCTCACTGCTCATTGAATTTCTTCACAACAGCTATCTTGAATTCTTTAACAGTTAAATTGAAGTATTCTTTGACTTTGGTTTCTGGAAAATTGTCATTGTCTTCTTGTGGTACAGTGTCGCTGTGAGTCTCGTGTTGATTGATGAAGTGTTCTGAGCTGGTTTTGAATGACAGAGTAGGAGCTCGATTTCCTCCAGTAGGTGGCGCAACCATTTAAGTTTTTGGTTTCTTTAACCTGAGCTGCCTCTGAGAGTTGGCACTTTCCAGCCTCCCCCTTCCCTGTAAGAGGTGTGGCTCCATGCCTTATTTGTCACTGCTTTTTGTGCCACCAGAGTCTCGCTGCCTTGCTTCCGCCGTAGCCGCTGTTGTCATCTGGACTGTGGGCTCTTGTGTTAGGGCTCCCCTGGAGGCACAGGACCTGCTGTGGGGAAAGGTGATGAAGAGGGTGCAGGCGGGGTTGTGGGCACCTTAGATGCTGGAGGGCCAGGGTGCGCTCCTGCCTGAGGCTGTGGGTGCCAGGAGTGGTCAGGGGGCCCCAGTTGGGTGCACCGCCTTCCTTGTGGCTGCCAGTTTCTCTGAAGCCGTGTGTTCCACTGCCTCACTCAGAGGGCCAGGTTGCCAGCATGGACTCTGCAGTTGCCCCGCTCCTCTGTGCATTTCAGTCCATCCCCTTTGGGTGTGCAGATGTGTGGAATTCTGCAGTGCCCTGTTGTGCTGGGCAGAAGTACGTTTTTTGAGTTGTGGATGTTTCACTGGATATAGATTGAAGGGGAGAGACAAAGGTAGTCTTTACCACTCTACCATGTTTCTGAAGTCTGAAAACTGTGTTCTTCAGTTTTAATATGTTTATGTGTCGATTTATTCTTATTTATCCTCCTTTGTGGTTCATTGGAATTTTTATCTGTGCATTGTTACTTTTCATTAAATCTGGCTAATTCTTAGTCATTATCTCCTCAGTTACTGTCTTTCCCTATATTCATTTTTATAGCCCCCCCCCGTTTCTGTCTTTTTTGTAGAACCATAATTAAAAATATGTTAAACCTTCTCAGTTTACCTTCCATATCTTTTAACCTCTCTTCTGTAGTCTATATACATTTCTGTTTTCTATGTTGCATTCTGGGTAATTTTTCTAAATTATCTTCCAGTTTACTAATTTTTTAAAAATTTATTTTTTAATTGAGGGATAATTGCTTTACAGAATTTTGTTTTCTGTCAGACATTAAAATGAATCAGCCATAGGTGTTTATTTTTTATTTCTACCTAATCTGTTATTGAATACACCTATTAGGGTTTTACTTTTGGTTATTATTACTCTATTTTTACTTTCTAATTCTAATATTATTATATTTTTACTTTCTAAAAGTTCTCTTGATTATTTAATTCTGCTAGATCTCTGCAGAAGCTTTCAAGTTAATTTCATTTTTTGTTTGTTTTTACATGTAGTAAGTTTAGTTGTTTTGTAATTCCTCTGGAAATTCAGATATCTAAAGTTTCTGAGGTTTTGTATTAGTTATATTGTTATTTGTGATTCATTGTCTCCTTATATACTTTTTATCTTTGCCTATGTCCTGCTCATTGACTTTTTAAAAAATTTTTGTAAAATTGGTTGGAATATAGGTTGAGTTTGCCTGCCTCCAGAAAGATTTACATTCTCTTCTGCCAGGTACCTAGCAATCTAGAACCATGTTAATTTAAATGAACAACCTGAAGATTTGTGTACCACCCAGTTGATGTGAAAATTGAGTTGCAAATCCATATCAAGGCTAATTTATTTCTTTTTCTGGCTTAGTCTGAGCATGTATCCCTAGGGACTCAATTTAATAAACTCCTCTCCACTCCCTATCATGGGCAGATACTGGCTTGAATTTCTGTCCTCTGACCTGTAAAATCATTGAAACCAAAGTTCAGAATAGCCTGGATTAGCAGATAACGTTAAGACAAAAATAGTTGCCACTTTTCCTTTAATTTTGACCTGGTAATTTGTTACTCTTTTGTTAGCTCTCTGATGCTTTTTGGACATGTTTTAAAAATATTTTATCTAAAATTTTTAGTTTCTGTGGGAGGATTGGTCCAATAATCTAACCCAATCATTTCCAAACATGGAAGTTTTTCATCACATTAAGATAAGTTTTTCCCATAATTGCATTTTCATAATTTTTCCTTTATTCTACTTTTTATCATGCCCAAATCATGAATATCCTTGTGTTATTCTGATATTTTCACGGTTTGATTTTTTCACTAAAATCTTTAGTTCGTTAGGATTTCACTTGTAATTTGTGGTTTGGTTTTTATAATTGATGTTTGAAGCTGTCATCTGAATCTCATATCTTGATTGTATTTCAGGAACATTGGACACCCAGAGCTATTTTGCAGTTCCAGAAGTTGTGTGGTTTGAAGCCATTAGTAGGGGTAGTGGATGAATATGTAGATGGGATCCTGAACATTTTCCTGTGTGATACGTCCTCAAATGAAGATGTCTATTTCCACCATGTTTTGAGGACAGAGGGTCATGCTATTGTATGCCGAGAAAATGTCCCTTCTAAGGTGGAGCAGTCTGAATGTATTTTGTAATGTATTTTGTTTAATCTCAACCCTTCAAGGTATAAGAGAATTTAATACAGAAGGTTATTTGATTGATTCTTTAAGAGACATCTGTGAGATGCCTGGCTTACTGAATGCACAGCACTTTCTTAATTTTCACATGACCACAGAAAACTACATTTGGCTTATTGTCTCTTAGAATGTGAGTTTCTTTTATTTTAAATAATGGAGGATTCTGTCTTACCCCCAAGTATTTGATTCTCTGAAGTTTTCTTAGAGAAGAGCAACACTTTCTTATTTTCTAATTATTGATAGCAGTGTCTACATCACCATTAATATTGGTGTTGATATTTTTGTGGCTAGCAGGCACTATCAGTGTGGGAAAAATTCTATTAAATTTTAGAAGATAATACATTTCCACAACATTTGAGGATTATGGAGTGCTGTTTCCATTTTTTTTCCTGAGAAACTAAACTCTTCCTCCTCCTTTTTCTTATCCTAGGGTTTCAGAGACCTCAACCCTTTAGCTTTATACACTAAATCCAGTGTGAGGCCTGAGGACATTGTCCTGAAAGAGCTGGGCTATTCTTCCCAGCACTATTTTAACGAAGACCGAGAGATCAGTCCACAATCAAAAGAGAGTGACTTATATACCCTGGTAAGAGGTTTTTGCAAATATTGTCATATTCTTTTTATAATTGTTAATATTTAATGAGTACTTACTGTATGCCAAACGCTATAAAAGGCACTTTAAATATATTATTTAATACTCATAAAATGCTTGTGAGGTAGTGACTCTGTGCTTAGTTGCTCAGTCATATCCGACTCTTTGCAACCCCATGGACTGTATGCCACCAGGCTCCTCTGTCCGTGCGGATTCTCCAGGCAGGAATACTGGAGTGGGTTGCCATGCCCTCCTCCAGGGGATCTTCCCGACCCACGGATCAAACCCCGGTCTCCCGCACTGCAGGTGAATTCTTTACCATCTGAGCCACCAGGGAAACCCAAGAATATTGGAGTGGGCAGCCTATCCCTTCTACAGTGGATCTTCCCGACCCAGGAATCGAACCAGGGTCTCCTGCATTGCAGGCGGATTCTTTACCAGCTGAGCTAACCAGGGAGGTTGTAGTGACTATAATTAACCTTATTTTAGCAATGAGGAAACTGAGGCATTTGCAAACCTGGGGGAGTTTGGAAACTACACAGTAATCTCAACAGTTACCTTGTCTCTCATCATTTGCTGGTTTAAACCTTGATTTCAGCCATGATTTTTCCTGCATAATTTCTCTCATATACTGAATTCTGCTACCACCTTGGTGCAGTTGTGACCTTACCTGCATGGATCCAAATGCTATTTTTTCTTCCCTCTGCACACTTGAGATGTTTTTGAAGTGTTCTCATTTCTAACTTTGCTGTAAACCTCATGGCAACTCCTACCTATAGTAATAACAATATTATTATTATGTATTATTCCATACCACAGTTCAGTTCACTTGGTCATTTGTGTCCAACTCTTTGCAACCCCATGGACTGCAGCACACCAGGCTTCCCTGTCCATCACCAACTCCCAAAGTTTGCGGAAACTCATATCCATTGAGTCAGTGATGCCATCTAACCATCTCATCCTCTGTCATCCCCTTCTCCTGCCTTTAATCTTTCCCAGCATCAGGGTCTTTTCAAATGAGTCAGTTCTTCGCATCAAGTGGCCAAAGTATTGGAGTTTCAGCTTCAGCATCAGTCCTTTCAATGAATATTCAAGACTGATCTCCTTTAGGATAGACTGGTTGGATCTCCTTGCATCCAAGGGACTCTCAAGAGTCTTCTCCAGGACTTCCCTGGTGGTCCAGTAGTTAAGAATCTGTCTGCCAATGCAGGGGACTCTGGTTCAATCCCTGGTCCGGGAAGATCCCACATGCCATGTAGCAACAAAACTGGTGTGCTATCAATACTGAGCCAGCACTCCAGAGCCTGTGAGCCATGACTAGAGAAAGCCCATGCACAGCAATGAAGGCCAAGCGTAGCAAAAAAAAAAAAAAAAATTATTGATTAATTGAATAAAAATTAAAAAAAAAAAAAGAGTCTTCTCCAACACCACAGTTCAAAAGCATCAATTCTTGGGCACTCATTTTTCTTTATGATCCAACTCTCACATCCATACATGACTACTGGAAAAACCATAGCTTTGACTAGATGGACCTTTGTTGGCAAAGTTATATCTCTCCTTTTTATTTTTATTATTTTTTTTTTGAGCTGTAACTCCTTTTATTTTCTCTGTTTAAAATCAAACAGAAAACAAACATCAATTTTGTTATACACGAACATTTCCAAAGTACATTGTTTGTACAAGAGAAGGACGAAGAAACAAAAAGGTGTTTACAGAGATCAAACATGGGTGGGTGCACGTGTCTCACACGGCTTTCCGATGGTACTCAGGGGGAGCCACTTCATAATCACTGGCACTAAACAAAGTTGCAGAGTTCTTTGCCAGGTATTTTAGGAAATCGTGAAGATAATTCAGTAATAAAGCAAGGCTCTTCTCATCCAGAGGTGTATAGGCCAACGTTGCTCCAATTCGTACAAACAGTCTCAGGAGATGTGGCGCCCCGTACACCTGGGACATGGGTGCATCAGGGTGGTCCGCAAGGATCTCAGCGTACTGCGGCCTCTCAAATTTGTAGAGCAGTTGAGTGCCCAACATCACATTGAAGTATTCCTTTATCCCGGCCACAACCTCATTGACTGCATACTCCTTATTATCTGTGTTTTCTCGCGATTTCTTGTAATTTGCATAATCCTCTAGGATGGAATCCACGTTCTTCTTGGCGGGAAGATAGAAGAGCTGTTTTTGCCAGGTAATTAAGTCCCAGTCATCAACAAGCCATGGCTTCAGTTCTTCAGGAATCTTGACTTTAACTTCAACTCTGCCCATAAATGTTTCCTCATTTTCAACAGTAGGATCTACTCGAGCCCTTTTCTCTCGAGGAGGCTGAGGTGTTTCACTAGTGCTGCCACCATCTCCATTTCCAGGTGTCTTTTGTTTGTTCTTTTTCGTTTTCACTTCAATATTTTTTTGTTGTAGCCCAGCAGTCTTCTTTCCAGGGGCAGCCCCTCGCATCTTCCCCTCTGCATACCGCTCCTGATTGGCTTTTTGGAGTTCTCTCTGTTTTTGTAAATTGGTATCCACATACTTGAGTACTCTGCTTTCCGGAACCCATTCATCCCAACTAGAGGTCAGGAATGGGTGGTGTACGGAGGGAGCTCCTTCGGGAACAGGAAAAAGGGCTACAATATCCTCATGTGTCTTCAAAGTTTTTTCAGAGCGCCTGGGCCTCACAGCACTTTTTTTATTCCAACCACTGTAATGGATGAGGTATTTGACCTGTTTATCCTTTATGGCAACTGTTACACACTTTGCTTCATACAGAAGAGGCCCAAGAAAGCACAGCACTCTCTCACCCTCCTGGAATCTAGGCTTCGGGTCCTGCTTCGGCGCCATTTATAAAAGATTCACCGCCGCCGCCTCCTTCTCCCACCACCCCTGACTACCGCCCCCTACTCTCTACCCCACCCAGCTCCGCGTCAGACGCGCCGTCAGGCACCGCCAACTCTACATCCTGGGCCCGATTTGCCAGCGTCCAGCAGACCGCCCAGCACCGCGACCCGCGCAACTCTCTCTCTCCTTTTTAATACGCTGTCTAGGTTGGTCATAGCTTTTCTTCCAAGGGGCAAGCGTCTTTTAATTTAATGGCTGCAATCACCATCTGCAGTGATTTTGGAGCCCCAAAAAATAAGGTTTGTCATTGTTTCCACACCTATTTCCCATGAAATGATGGGACCAGATGCCGTGATCTTAGTTTTCTGAAGTTGAGATTTAACCCAACTTTTTCACTCTCCTCTTTCACTTTCATCAAGAGACTTTTTAGTTCTTCTTTGCCTTCTGCCATAAGGGTGGTGTCATTTGCATGTCTGAGGTTATTGATATTTCTCCTGGCAATCTTGATTCCAGCTTGTGCTTCCTCCAGCACAGCATATCTCATGATGTACTCTACATATAAGTTAAATAAACAGGGTGACAGTATACAGCCTTGACATACTCCTTTCCTGATTTGGAACCAGTCTGCTGTTCCATGTCCAGTTATAACTGTTGCTTATTGACCTGCATACAAATATCTCAGGAGACAGGTCAGGTGGTCTGGTATTCCCATCTCTTGAAGAATTTTCCACAGTTTGTTGTGATCCACACAGTCAAAGGCTTTGGTATAGTCAATAAAGTAGAAGCAGATGTTTTTCTGGAACTCTCTTGCTTTTTTGATGATCCAGTGGATGTTGGCAATTTGATCTCTAGTTCCTCTGCCTTTTCTAAATCCAGCTTGAGCATCTGGAAGTTCACGGTTCACATACTGTTGAAGCCTAGCTTGGAGAATTTTGAGCATTACTTTGCTAGTGTGTGAGATGAGTGCAATTGTGCAGTAGTTTGAGCATTCTTTGGAATTGCCTTTCTTTGGGATTGGAATGAAAACTGACTTTTTCCAGTCCCGTGGCCACTGCTGAGTTTTCCAAATTTGCTGGCATATTGAGTGCAGCACTTTCACAGCATCATCTTTTAGAATTTGAAATAGCTCAACTGAAATTCCATCACCTCCACTAGCTTTGTTCATAGTGATGTTTCCTAAGGCCCATCTGACTTTGGACTCCAGGATGTCTGACTCTAGTTGAGTGATCGCACCATCGTGATAAAAAGATAACAGTGACACTTACTGTACTTGTACTATGTGGCAGGCGCTGTTCTGAGTACTTGCATGTACTAGTTAAGTTAATCTTCACAACCACTTTACCAGGTTGTTTCTTTAAGATCCCCATTTTAGATATATGTAAAGTGAAGCACATTAGTAAATAATAAGTTAAATGACTTTTCAACAAATGAGCAGATAAATAGACATGTCTTTGAAGTCTCTCATATTCCTCATGGCAATAAGTACTGAGCTAAAAATATAGGTTGGGCTCAGTTTGAGAGTCCCCAAATTTATTTTTTCCGGACATGACAAAGCTTTTTTCTTTGAATAAAATATGAAAATATTGTTTTGTAAGTATGTTTTATATATCTGACTTTTTAAATTATAGGGATAATGTTATTTTGTTAGTGGACTTGCATTTTTAGAAAAGATAAAAAGGAAAGGCTATTTTGCTGTACCCCTGAAACTAACACAACATTGTAAATCAATTATATTTCAATAAAAAATTTTTTTCAAAAGAGCATTTGACTACTGGGAGATTAACCTACTCTGAAAAATGTGTATGAATGTTTACTGCCGCATGTTTAAAGCAATATCAACGTTTTAGATTTCATTTTAGTTTAAAGCTAGTTAAAATTAATTGGGCTTGTTTAACCTGTCCAACTTTCTGAAATCTGAATTTTTGTTAGTCCTTATTACTTGATTAGAACAGTTATGTTTCCTGATTCTTAAATAGGGAATTGAATTTTCAGCCTTAAGAGTTTTTAGAATATCTTATCATCACTGTGTTGATGTCTTTACTCATAGTTCAGTCCTGAAAATGAAATAAGGCCATCTTTTCTGCAAAGAGATAAGGCCTAAAGCTTCTCTATTGTACCCCAGCCTGTATTTTAACATATCAAGACTCCCACATGCTACATACACACACAAACCTACCTCTATACACCTTGTTGTTGTTTAGTCACTAAGTCGTATCCAATTCTTTTGTGAGCCTGTGGACTAGAGCCCACCAGGCTCCTCTCTGTCCATGGGATTCTCCAGGCAAGAATACTGGAATGGGTTGCCATTTCTTTCTCCAGGGGATATTCCCAACCCAGGGATCAAACCCGTGTCTCCTGCATTGGCATACGGATTCCTTACTGCTGAGCCAGCAGGGAAGCCCCTCTATACATCTGATTCCCTCTAATCCTTGCTTTTCTTTTAGGCATCCTAACAGTTTGATTTATCTCCTCTATTACATGTTCTCAGACATCTTCCTTCTCCAGTATTATTTTGGTCAGTGTGACATCTCTGTGTTGGTTCTACACTGAAGGTTGTGCTGCGATTATCTGATTGTGTATCTTCATGCTATATTTGAACTCTTAGAGCTGGGCCCCTGTTGCATTCATCTTTATACCCACAGAGCTACCCTGTACACATTACATAATATGTACTCAATGATTGTTAACCTGTGCATGCGTCCTCAGTCGTGTCCATCTCTTTGCGACCCAATGGACTGTAGCCACATGCTCCTCTGTCCATGGGATTCTCCAGACAAAAATACTGGAGTGGTTTGCCATTTCCTCCTCCAGGGGATCTTCCTGACCCTGGATTGAACCCGTGTCTCTATGTCTCCTGCATTGGCAGGCAGATTCTTTACCACTGCACCACCTGGGAACCCCTTGGCCTGAACTAATTTAACAGAATGGGAATGCCTAGGGTCAGTGCATAAAGTGAGAAAATAATGTTGCATATGCATGAACCATGGTGAAAACTTGCCCCCAGAATTTATAGGTGTGTAAATTTTGGAAACAGCATTACTATAGAAAATAAAATAATTTCTCTTTTTTATCTACTAGCAAGATATTAAGGATGAAAAGACTTTCAGTCACCTTAGATCAGTCACCTCAGAGGAGCCATTAAAGGATTCTAAGTTAAATTCTTTGAAAATACAAGATAAGAGCTCTGAAGAAGATCCAAAGTGGTCCATCCCAGAGCTAAAGGATCTGAAAGAAGAAAATGAGGTAGGAGAAGGGGATATAGCTTTTTAAAAATGTAATTAATAAATTCATAAGTGAAGGAGACTGAGGTAAAATAGCTCTTTATGCTGTATTCTTGTGGTGCCATCAGAGCATCTCCTACAGATGAATTACAAACTCTTCAGTGATCACCAACACCAAAGTTTCAGCAATGTAGCCTCAATCAGAAAAAAGAAAAGCCATTATCTGACTCCTGGGCAATTTTGAAGAATTATGCAGTGATTAGAAAGTAGTATTGAGAAATAGTGTTAGGAAGACCCATCAAGAAAAATGTTTGACAGCTCTTTTTGCAGGACATACTTTAATCAAATGTCCCATGTGCTCACAGCTTTTTTCTTTTTTTTTTTTCCAAAAAAAATAAGAAAAAACCAAATGTTTATGTACGCACAGCTTAGAGTTCCCCATAACCCCTTCCCCTTCATTTCCTATTTCACAGAGCAACCATTTTCATTTCTGTTAATGTCTTCTTTTGGAATTTGTCTCTATTTCTTTCATTAAGTAGCATGCTTATATTGTTATTTCCTTATTTTTCAGTTTTAAATATGTATGGCCTTCCCAGCATGAGAGATGAAGGTTTAGTTCTCTTTCATCTCTTTTCCCCCACCCCAGACAAAAATATCCTTTCTGTTCTCTCATTATCTTACTAATATATCAAACTTTCCATTAGGTCACCATTCATTCAATATTTTGTTATTGTGACCCTGTAAATGCTATATACAGTTAAGTAATATATGATGTCAGGTTTTCCTTTCCTGCGTAACTTTTATTTTCTCTGGTGTTAATACGTCTTTTTAAGTGAATATACAGTAAGCAATTGACTTTGTACTCAGGGTACTGTCCTATCAATTTTAATACATGTATAGATTTATGTAACCAGCACCATAATCAGGATGCAGAATGGTTCCATCATCTGAAAAAACTCCCTGATGCTACTCCTTTATAATCACATCTCCCCAAATCCCTAATCCCTTAGCAAGCATTTCTGTTTTCTGTCTCCATAATTTTACCTTTTCAGGACTGTCAATTAAGTGGAATCATGTGCTATGTAACTTCACAATAGAAACTTCTTTGATTCAGCATAGTACCTTCATTTAAATCATTGCATGTATCAATAGTTCATTTCTGTTGATGAGTAGTATGGTATGGATATACCACAGTTTGTATATACATGCATCCATTGAAAGACATTATGGTTATTTAGTGTATGAATTGATCTTCTATATTTTGGTATGAATGGATCTTCTATAAATATTCATGTACAGGCTTTTTAATAAACATAATCAAGGGTCGGATTGCTGGTTCATGTGGTAAATGTATGCCAAATTTTTACAGACTGGCTGTACCATTTTGCGTTCCTATCAGTAGTATATGAGTTCCAGTTGTTCCATATCTTATCAGCACTTGATATTGTCAGGAATTTTTATTTTTAACCATTTTCATAAGTGTGCAATAGTAGTATCACAGTGTGGTTTTAATCTGCATTTCCCTAATGACTGTGATATTGACCATCTTATCATGTGCTTTTTTGCCATCCACATGTATTTCTTGGTGAAATGCCAGTTAAAGTCTCTTGCCCATTTTTTGAATGAGTTGTTTGTTTTCTTACTATTGGGTTTTGAGTATTCTTGATATGTTCTGGATATGTTTCGGATAGCCCTTTGTTGGATTTGTGATTTTCAAATAGTTTCTCCCACTTGTAGCTTCATTCTCTTAATGGTGTCTTCCATATAGGAAAGGTTTTTAATTTTGACAAAGTACATCATTTTTTTTTCTTTTATGTACTGTGTTTTCAGTTTCAAAACATCTTGATTTAATTTTAGTATAAGGGGTGAGATTTAGGTTAAGGGTATGGATGTTCAGTGGTTTTAGTGCTATTTGTTGGAAAGACTATGCTTTATTGAATTTTAAAATATTTTTTGACATCATATTTTATATCTTTTTGTTTTATGTATCTCTTAACTACTTATTGTAGATATAGACAATTTTACTTTTAACTTTCCTTTATAAGTAGTTGTTATAAGTTATTCTTAGCTTTATAAGTAGTTGATCTATTACCTTTACCATATGTTTGCTTTTACCATTGAGATTTTTCTTATAATTTTTATATGTCTAATTGTGATATTTTCTGCTTTAAGAAGTCCCTTTAACATTTCTTGCAAAACTGATGCTGAACCCTTGTAGACTTTTTGATGATGGCCATTCTGACCAGTGTGATACCCCACTGTAGTTTTTGATTTGCGTTTCTCTGATAGTGAGCAATGTTGAACATCTCTTCTTGTGTTTATTAGCCATATGTCTTGTCTTTTTTGGAGAAATGTCTGTTTAGGTCTTCTGCACCCTTTTTGATTGGACTGTTTGTTTTTCTGGTATTGAGCCTCATGAGCTGACATTAAATGAGTTGCTCTTGTTTTCATTCTCACTTTATACCCTCAATTTCAAAAAACTTCATAGTAGTAGTTCCTGAACTTTTGCAGTATTTATGGTATAAGTTGGGTTGCTTCTCAGATTTTCCTCCTAAAAGCTCAGGATTCCACTTTCTCAGGACTACTTAATAAGTTGTACCTTGTCTGATTCCTGTATCCAGAACATAGGTGATGTTTCCCCCTCTTATTTCTCTTTGACTGTAAGTTTATACCTTGAATCTATTTTATTTTGGTGCTATGTCAGAAGGGGAGAGCATAATGAATTGCATATTCAAAGTGCCATCTTTACCCAGAGTCAGGAAAAATTGTAAACCTAAATTTCAAAATGTATTCATATAGGAATAATAAATAAAAGTTTTTCTTTGTTGTCTAGGATGATATCCCCACTGGAATGCCTTGCCTGGAGTCAGTAACCATAGGTGATGATATTTGGGATGAGAACTGGTTACCTTTGCAGGCTAAAATGGGAAAAGAAAGTGATGCTGCCTCTCACTTATTTACCTCAAGCCTTGGTGGAAAGAAACCATATTCATCATGTAAAGAATTGCCACAGAAGGTTAGATCCTTGGAAAAACATAAAGAAAATCATTACTGAAAAAGGAACTGTTAATGTAATTATCCAAGCCTCAGAAAAGCTGTACATTCTGCATTTCATGAGGATTTCTCAGACAGTAATTCAGAAGAATGCATTTCCTGGCCGCTTCCTCCCTGCAAAGAAGACAGTGTTAGGGATGGAGACAGGATGAAACAGGGGAGAATAAACCATGGACATATTGTGTCTATCTACCCTATCAGTCATTATGATTTTTGTTTTATTGTTGGCACCTAGTCAAGGTCTTAGAAACTAGAAATAAAGTGTTTTCCCTAATTTTTGTTGCTTTAACCTTATAATGTCTGGATCTGAGTATATTTACTAATACTGGACCCTATATATATAAATTTTAATTTATATCCCACTGGCTACCAAAAAGAAGATACATCAACACTTAAGTTTCTGCTTGTTATTTGTGCCATTTTAATACTGAATGATTAGAAAAATCAACTAGCCACGAAGAATGTATTAAAGATGATACTACAAACACTTTTATGAGATCTGTGTATTCAAAGGAATTCAGTGTGTTGGGTATGGACAAGTAAAGCAAGAGGGAAAACTCACATTGATAAGAAAGTTAATAAATATCTTTTCTTGTTTAGTTAGTATACACTACCTCTTTGCCTTTGCCTTGCCCGATTTATCCTCCATATGAATCACGTGGCACTATATCTTGGTTTAGTATTGCAGTATTTTTTTTCTCTGTAGGATTGGTGTTTTTCTACACCCAAAGATATATGGGATGATTCATGGCAGCCTTCAGGCCTTGTGAACGGAATGAAAGAAGTTCAAATACGAGAAGGACTGGGTGCTCAAGAAAAATATTTTGACACAACCAGGATTCAAAAGGTAAGTATCTAATGAGTGTTACTGTGACAAGTTATTTTTTGAGGAAGTGCTTTCAGTTTTAGAAGGTGAGATTCTGGTGAATGATCTTAGCATTTGGTAGAATACATATATGTAAAAATGTATGTTTATTTAAAAATTGATTTCAGTTATCTTACTATAGTTATTCATAGAAAATTCTGAGCCTGGAATTAGAAGATTGATGAAACATTAGGGATAGAGAAAACAGGTATTTTCACTTAGCCATACATTTTAAGTTCTGTAGCTGCCCAATCATGTAGGCGAGTTTTTTCTATTTTGTTGCTTTAGTAGAAAGCACTAGCCCTGGAATAAAATCCATTTGTTTTGTGTTTCTCAAATATATTATGAGCATCCTGAAAATAGAAGGACAATTTGTGTGAATCCTGAAATTTGGCTAATGGTCTCTGTACTTTTGTGCAGTACACTGAAAATGAAGGACATCATGTCTAGACTTGTTAAAAAAGCAGAGTTGTGGAAGATGAGCCTTCTGAGTGATATATTTTCTGCAGAATGTGATTACTTTGCATGAGATTATTGATAAAGTATGCTGTATCACATAAAACAGTCTGTTTCGTAAATGTAGGTTTCTTAAAGCACAGATTTAGTTTTAAGATAAAGTTTTTGTTTTGTTTATTCATGCATCAGCTGATGGACATTTGAGTTATTTCTGCTTTTCTGCTATTATGAATAATGCTGCTGTGACATGTGTGTATGTGTTTCTACGTGGACGTATGTTTTCAGTTTTCTTATGTATATACCCGGGAGTTGAATTACTAGGTTCTGTGGTAATAAATCTAGCCCCTCCCACCCTACCCACCACCCACCCCCCGGTGGCTCAGCAGTAAAGAATACACCTGCAGTGTAGGAGACACAGGAGATGTGGGTTTGATCCCTGGGTTGGGAAGATCCTCTGGAGAGAGGAATGGCTATTCCCCTCCAGTATTCTTGCCTGGGAAATTCCATGGACAGAGGAGCCTGGTGGGCTACAGTTCATAGGGTCATGAAGAGTAGGACATGACTAAAGCGACTAAGCATACATACACACACGTGGTAACTCTATGTTTAGTATTTTGAGGAACTGCCAGACTGTTCTAAGCAGTTGCACCATTTTATATTCCCACCAGCAATCTAAGAGTGTTCCAATTTGGTCCACATCTTTGCCGGCACTTGTTATTATCTAATTTTTAAAATTATCGCCATCCTAGTGGGCATGAAGTTTTATGTTATTGTGGTTTGGGGCTGTGCTTTTGATTACATATGTTAATGTTTTATAAATCATGAACATATTTCTTGAAAGTTGCCACTAACCTCTGGTCCCGTAAGGGTATATTTTCAGACAAGCATTAAGGAGTCTTTGATTGATAACTACAGAGCAAGAATCTGGCAGAGCAATGCTTCTTGAACTACACTGTTCATAGCGATCACTGGTGAATCTTGTGAGACTGCAGATTCTGATTGAGCAGAACTGGGCTGGGGACTAAAGTTCTCGATGTCTTAGAAGCTTCCAGGTGATGCTTACGCTGCTTGGTGGTGAATCACACTTTGAACAGCAGTGCTCTAAACTGCTATGTGGAGGAGGAGACTCTTAACTTTTCACTTATGTGCTTAAACTGCCCACAGGTACTTGCTTTCATAGTGGCATACAAATTTAGTAGGCATTCACCTATGTTCTTTTTTTCAGAGTGAAAAACTGTCAGAATGCATCTTAAATGTATTTTAGCCATTTGTCTTTCTTCAAAATCATATTTATCAGGAAAGGGAAAAAATGCAGCTTTTAGAAAACTATTTCTGGTTTTGACTGAGGGAAATGGTAACTACTCCAGTATTCTTGCCTAGAGAATTCCAAGGATAGAGTAGCCTGGTGGGCTACAGTCCATGGGGTTGCAAAGAGTCGGACACGACTGAGCAACTAACACATAGTTTCACACACTGCTAAAAATAGGCAGCAGGGCTTAGTGTAAAAAAACACTTGCCTGAGAATTCTATAATTTAGAGCTTAAGCTTTACCACAAGTTTGAGCAAGTTGCCTTTTGGGGCCTTAAGGTATCCATCTGCAAAAAACTGATTTTGACTAATGATCTTTTCAGCCATAAAATCTTATCATATTAATGTTTACTTACTTAATTATCATCGAAGCTTCATTTTAAGAGAGAGTAAACCTAATGGGTAACTAAAGCACATACATGAAGTTGCATAAATTAATCAAAAATTTGAATCCAGGTCTTTGCTTTCCTGAAGTAGCATATTAAATGATAAGGTAACTATGTGGGCTTTTAGAGATTTCATTTTTGCTGCCCCAAAAAAGAAGCACAGCCATTTTTATATAATGTAATTATATAAGCCATATCCTTGCCAGCCATGTTTAAAAATGAACAAGGTTTTTTTGTCATGGAAGAGAAAAGGAAAGCCAACTGATATTGAATGTCTTAACACACCAGTCTAAAGAACACACAAAGCTACATTTTCTATTTGTATAATTTTTGTTTGAGTTTACTCGAGGCAGATCCCAGGCCCTAAGCCACTTGTGTGGGTTTATTATGGCAGCTCCTAGTGTGGCCCGCCTAGCTGTGTTAATGCCAGTTACCATCACTTTATCTTCTAGTGCCCGTTAGGAAGATAAATGCTCTGAGTCACCCTGGACTGTAACTATTTCAGCAATGCTCTGTAGGAAGATATAGGATCTATTGATTAAAACTTGGCAGTTTACTTTAGCACAAATTGAGGCTTTGTTTGGGAATTCCATCTTTTCCTCTCAAACCTTGGTTCTTGGTACTCCATTTTGTCACTTCTCCTGAGGAGCCTTCCTTTAAAGCCGGTGTGTTCTCCTAGTGTGTTGTTGATGCTGCAGACGCAGTTAATGCCTCCTTCACGGGCACCTACAGGCCAGGTTCTGTTTCCCTAGCTGAGAATCATGAGCTGTTCGAGGACAGGGGTCGTATCTGCTGGGAGGTGGTGTGATGGAGCAGAGAGTGCATAGGTGAGCCTGAATTTGGATCTGTGCCTTGTCCCTTACTGGTTGACACTGGATAACTTGCTCCGTCTCTTGCGAAAGCTTTCTGCTAAGTGAAGGAAGCCATAATACAGAAGACACAATGACACCTAACTTAGGACAATGTTTTGATGTTTCGGTGAAGAAACATGTGCTAACAGCCTGGCACTGTGCCTGACAATGAGTGCTCAGTGAATGTTATTTCTCTCCTTTCCTGCCATTTTTCCCTGGCTGGCATAGCAGTCCTGAGTACCGTGTTTGCTCATAATATGTGTTCAGTAAACACTTCTTAAATTAATGGTCCCTCAGTTAGAGAAGGACTTGCTTTCCAGAGAGTATCTGGATTCTTAAAAGTAGGGAGTTTTATTTATGATACAAAAATATTCTTTTGTATATAAATGAGGAAACAAAATAGACAGTTCTTACTGTTAAACTAACAGTAACTTTTCATGCTTTTGCCCCATTTCCCCCATTCTGTAGCAACCAAATGTAGAGAGTGCCTCAGATTCTCCCGTGTTGCCCAAACTGGAGGAGTTCTACATCTCTCTTATCCAGTCACAGCAGTCAGCAGAAAGCGGCCAGTTTGAGCCTAGCATCATTCAGACTCCACCAAAGCAAATTCAGCTGTCCTCAACTCCTGCATTGGTCAATTCTGGGTCAGGTAGGTTGACCGTTGACAGATGCAGTGGTTTGCCGTGTTGCTGAAAACTTTTATCTTTTTCAGAACATAACTTGAAAAATTACAAATGTTAGCATTTGTCTCAAATCCTCGTGTTATTTTTGGACTTAGTTTTTCCTTTTCACTTTGCCGCTCTTCTTTGTTTCTGCAGTTTGGGGAGATGGTCAGGTTTATGCACCTTGAAGTTTGCCAGTTTTTAAGTAGGAAATTCTGTGAGTTCTGACAGAAGTGTACGGTCCTGTAGGCAGCGCTACAATTATGATAATAGAACATTTTTGTCAGTCTGAAAAGCTTCATGTGTCTTTGCAGTCATTCTCTCTTACTTCTTGTTGGCTTCTGGCATGTTACTTTCTCTTTTCTAGAATTTCATATAAAGGAAATCACAGTATGTAGTTTTTATGGCTGACTTCTTTCATTTAGCACAGTGTTCTAGAGATTCATCTATGTTGTTGCCAGTGCCTAATGTTTTTTCTTATTTATTGCTGAGTAGTACACAGTAGTATGGACATACGACAGTTTGTTTATCTGTTCACCAGATGATGGGTTATTTCCAGATTTGGGTCATGAGTCAAACTGCTGTGAATGTTCAGCTCTTTGTATAGACATGTATTTTTTATTTCTATTCACTAAGTACCTAGGAGTGGAATTTCTGGGCCATATGCTGACTGCATGTTTAGCTTTTTAAGAGCTGTCAAAATATTTTGCAAAGTGACTGTGCCGTTTGGTAATTCACATCAGCAATGTACTTGATTGCTTTGTATTCATGCCAACATACTATATCTCCAATCTTTTAAATTTTCCCATTTTGGTGGATATGTAGTGGTATCTTATTGCAGTTTTAATTTATACTTACCTGTTTACCAGTGACGTTGACTGTGTTTTCCTGTGTCTATGTGCCATTTGAATTACCTGTTCAAGTATTTCTGTATTTCTATTGGATTATGTTTTTATTGGCTTGTAAAAATTCTTCATTCTGGACACAAAACCTTTGTCAGATGCTTATATTGCAAATATTCCAGGTATATGGCCTGCGTTTTCATCTCCTTAACAGTGTTCTTGGAAGAGCAAGTTTTCCTTTTGATAAAATCAGATTTGTTAATTGTTTTTTCTTTATGGTTTGAACTTTTTGTGTCCTATTTAGAAATCTTTCCTAACTAAATAATTAACTTCCTCTTACATTTTCTTATAAAAGTTCTGTAGTTTTAGGTCTTACATTAGGTCTGTGATCCAGTTGTTAATTTTTGTGTGTGGTGTAAGGATCAATGTTTATTTTGATTACATATACGTATTCAGTTGTTCCAGTATGATTTATTGAAAAGGCAGTTCTTGCTCCTTTTAACTGCCTTGATGTCTTTGGCAAAAGCAAATAAGTTGTGTATGTGAGGGTCTGTTTCCTGACTTTAATTATGTTCTCCTGCGATTAGGTCAGCCTTTATACCCCTGTCTTGATTTCTGTGGTTTTATAATAAGTCTTGAAATCATACAGATTTTTTTTTTTATTGTTTTGACTATTCCAGGTCATTTTCCATATGAATTTTAGGATTAACTTAATTTCTACAGAAAGGCTGCTAAAGTCTTTATTGAGTTAAAAAACAACATCTCTGGATTAATTTGGGGAGAAGTGACATGTTAACAGTGTTGAGTTTTCTTCTCTATGAGCATAATATAACCTTTTCTTTTTCTGTGCTTAATATGTTCTTTTCCTGTCTGGTGTATTTTTCATCTCAGAAGTTCAATTTCTAATCTCTAGGGGGTTTTTTTGTATCTTCCCTCTTTCTCCTCAGTGTACTCATCTTTCACTTCTTGAATGCTTTGCGTGTTCTTGTGACAGCTGTTTTAATACCCTTATCTTGTGATTCCAGCATATGTATCATTTCTGCATTCTGTCATCTGTCATTTCTGAACTGGCTTCTACTGAGTGGTTTTTCTCTTGATTACAAGTCATATTTTTCTGCTTTTTTTGCACATCTGATAGTTTTTTATTGGATGGCAGGTACCAAATCACACATTGGTTTGTTGTTGTTGTTTTTTCTTTTTTTCATTTATTTTTATTAGTTGGAGGCTAATTACTTTACATTATTGTTGTGGTTTTTGCCATACATTGACATGAATCAGCCATGGATTTACATGTGTTCCCCATCCCGATCCCCCCTCCCGCCTCCCTCCCCATCCCATCCCTCTGGGTCTTCCCAGTGCACCAGCCCTGAGCACTTGTCTCATGCATCCAACCTGGGCTGGTGATCTGTTTCACCCTTGATAGTATACTTGTTTCAATGCTGTTCTCTCAGAACATCCCACCCTCGCCTTCTCCCACAGAGTCCAAAAGTCTGTTCTGTACATCTGTGTCTCTTTTTCTGTTTTGCATATAGGGTTATCGTTACCATCTTTCTAAATTCCATATATATGTGTTAGTATACTGTAATGGTCTTTATCTTTCTGGCTTACTTCACTCTGTATAATGGGCTCCAGTTTCATCCATCTCATTAGAACTGATTCAAATGAATTCTTTTTAATGGCTGAGTAATATTCCATGGTGTATATGTACCACAGCTTCCTCATCCATTCGTCTGCTGATGGGCATCTAGGTTGCTTCCATGTCCTGGCTATTATAAACAGTGCTGCGATGAACATTGGGGTGCACGTGTCTCTTTCAGATCTGGTTTCCTCGGTGTGTATGCCCAGAAGTGGGATTGCTGGGTCATATGGCAGTTCTATTTCCAGCTTTTTAAGAAATCTCCACACTGTTTTCCATAGTGGCTGTACTAATTTGCATTCCCACCAACAGTGTAAGAGGGTTCCCTTTTCTCCACACCCTCTCCAGCATTTATTGCTTGTAGACTTTTGGATAGCAGCCATCCTGACTGGCGTGTAATGGTACCTCATTGTGGTTTTGATTTGCATTTCTCTGATAATGAGTGATGTTGAGCATCTTTTCATGTGTTTGTTAGCCATCTGTATGTCTTCCTTGGAGAAATGTCTGTTTAGTTCTTTGGCCCATTTTTTGATTGGGTCATTTATTTTTCTGGAGTTGAGCTGGAGGAGTTGCTTGTATATTTTTGAGATTAATCCTTTGTCTGTTGCTTCGTTTGCTATTATTTTCTCCCAATCTGAGGGCTGTCTTTTCACCTTGCTTATAGTTTCCTTTGTTGTGCAAAAGCTTTTAAGTTTCATTAGGTCCCATTTGTTTATTTTTGCTTTTATTTCTAAAATTCTGGGATGTGGGTCATAGAGGATCCTGCTGTGATTTATGTCGGAGAGTGTTTTGCCTATGTTCTCCTCTAGGAGTTTTATAGTTTCTGGTCTTACATTTAGATCTTTAATCCATTTTGAGTTTATTTTTGCAAATTACACATTGTTGACTGAATGACTGAATCTCTTTTTCTTCTCTCTTTCCTTCCTTTCTTCCCTCCCTCCCTGCTGTCTATATAGTATCTATCTATCAATTGTTTGGGGGTAATTAAATTATGTGAAATTGATTTGATTATTTCTGCATTTATTTTAGATTTCATTTGTCTGATTAGAAAAGCCTTTAGTCTGTCGGCCCTGCTAGGCAGTACCTTTCTGAGGGCATTGATGGGATTTGATATCCTACAGGTATCTTTACACTGTAGCTAGTGGGAACACAGACTGTTTTGCCCCAACATAAACTGCAGTGATTGTTCTGCCTACTCCTTTCAGATAGGTTTTCTCCCTGGCCTTGGTGGTTTTCTCACAGGCATGAGCCAGGTCACTCTCCAGCCTAAGCCTCAAAGGGACCTCTCTGCAGGTCTCCAGCTGCTTCTCTGCCTATAGCTAGCTGCTTTCTCACTTGTACTTTCCCCACTAATTCCAGACACCTTTGTTGTTTCGTCACTCAGTCGTGTCCGATCTTTGCGACCCCGTGGACTGTAGTTCTCCAGGCTCCTCTGTCCTTGGCCTTCTTGAATTCCAAGCTCTGTCTTCTCACTGCAGTGAGACCTCCAGGCTCAGTGTGGACTCTCCCTCCGTGTACTTCAGCCTGGGCTTTATCTTGGCCGTGAACTCAGGCACTCGTAAAGCTTACTCCATTTGTTTCCCATTTCTCAGGGATTGCTGTCACGTAAGCTTGTTGGTCAACGTCTGAGAGCTGTTGTTTTATTTATTTTGTCCAGTTTTCTAGTTGTTTAAAGCAAGAGAGATTGTTTTTCAATCCTGGTTTAATTAGCATCATGTCTGGAAGCTGAAGTTTTGTTGCACTCCTAAATTCTTTCATGTGTCCCTGCTTTCATATTTTTATAACTTTTAAAATCTGAACTCATAAATGGCTTCATATAAAACCCATTATTTTACTAAGACTCACCATCTCTTTTCCACTCCAGTGGGCATTAATGATAGTCTTGTGTTCAGAGTTTTACTTTTGAGAATATCTTGTCAAATTCTCCTTAATTTATCACAAATGCATGGCACATATATCACACGCCTAGTGCACTAGATGCTAAAGATAGAAAGATGGATAGGATATTGGATTGTACCTGCTTTTTCTGAGGTATTTTTTTGAAGTCTGTAATTTTAGGGTCTAGAGCAATGCTTTTCAGAATGTAGTCAGCATACCAGTACTTGTCTGTGAAGCATTTGTGATGATGGACAACACAGTAGCACTTTGCTTAGCTCACCTAGAGTTTTTTCCCTAAAGCAGGACTTTCTTGAAGGAAGCAGTGTGTTGGCTTAGGTGCTGGCACCAGCTCCTCCCATTGTAGGCAGGTAAGAAACAATTCATAGACCAGCTCCTTCAGTATCCCTGGTCCAGAGTAGACACACAAGGTGCCTCGTATCCTCTTCTTTGCTCTTAGGAACTCTTGGCATTGGAGTTCCCAGCAATTTATCTCATGGAAAAGACCCTTCTTAGTTAAACTAATTCCCAAGGAATTCTTTTTATGGCTGATAACTGGTTTTTGGAATTTCTTAGCAAACACAGTCTTGTTCAGTTTTGTTTTTACACAGGCAGATGTGGAATTGGAATGACTTTGGCAATAGAGAAGGCCTATGGGATACTATTTTGCTCACTGCTGGAAGGAAATAGGAGAGCTTAAGGATTCTTTCATGGAATTGGAATTATATCCAGTTTATTTTTATGATGTCCTAGAAAGAGATCTCCCTTTTCTTGTTCACAAATGTTTTTCCTCTCATCTTTGACCTCACTCTGACAAGAATTTATCTCGATGCATGATCCCCCATCCTCATTTCCTTTCCATTTGTTGACTGGTTTCTGAGCTTCATTCTCTCTTCATTTGCCATTGGTGATTTCACCACCTAACCATAAGATGGGGTTTCCTTGTGGCTCAGTGGTAAAGAGTCTGCCTGCCAATGCAGGAGACGTGGGTTCAATTCCTGGGTCAGAAAGGCCCCCTGGAGAAGGAAGTGGCTACCCTTTCCTGGAAAACCACTTGACCAAGGCGCCTGGCAGGCTACAGTTCATGGGATTGCAAAAGAGTCAGATGACTTAGCAATTCAACAATGACGACAGCAACAAATCGTAAGATCATTGTAACAGATGTTAGTAAAGATGTAGACTGGGAGAGTGTGAGGACCTCCTGGAAAGACCTTTGTTTTCTTTCTTTTTCAGTGGAAGGCTCCCCAGAGAGCCTAGAGAATGAAGATTTTTCTCGTAGCTCTGCTATTACAGTGTTCAAAGATACACGTCAGGGAGCCGTGGACCAGCTCTCTTTGATTTTGTCTCCCGAGCACCAGATTTCCCAGAAGCTCTACATTCCTCGAAGCACAGCCACTGCTGCCTTAGGAGCTGCTGCGAGGCTCGCCACGTCCAAGAGCCTCCTGCACTGGTACCCAAGTGTGAAGAAGGTGGAGACTTGAGGGCAGTGGGGAGGGAAAAGTCAACCAGAGGCTTAGGGCGTGGTGACTTCCCAAGCCAAACCAAGAAGCAGGTATTGAGACAAAAGCCGTATTTTGTTGACAAAGTTTCTAGACAAAGTTTATGCCTTTATCTTTCTGTGAAACCCTTTGTTAGATTTATTATGCTCACAGTCCCCTTTGTTGTTTAAGTATTGATTTCTAACATTCATTATCATTTTCATGGATGATGTTTATTTTTCTCAGAGTTTTGTTCACCTTTGTTCAATGTAGAAGTTTAAAGGACTTTTTAGTTTCTATGTTTCTATAAATGTTTTTCTTGTATATATCATGACTGATAAATGTAAGCTGAAAAACTGTTTTGTGATCCATATTTAGTTAGAAAAAAATTGTCGCAGCTCTGTCTCCAGAAAGAGGATATCTGACTTTTAAGGCTGCTTTTCCTCATTTGAAAACTTCTATACCATAGAAGTAATCTACGGCTCCAATCTTTGCCGTCATTAATTCTTTGAAATACTAGGATCACTAAAAAAATCCACACCATGAATCTTTGGTCATGTGAACCCTTTTACATTAAAAAAAAAAAAGATGAAACTATCTTTCAGTGTAGGCAGTTTCTTGAAGACTTAACAAGAAAATTAGAGACTAGTTGTTGAAACTAGCTGAGCCATCTCTGCAGTCATCATAGTTCTCTGGAGCCTTAATGTAATAGCAGCTAAACAGTGGTATTGCTTAAGCTTTTATAGAGCATGCACTCACATTTGTGAAACACTCAGTCATGTCTAACTCTTTGTGACCCCATGGACTGTATAGCCTGAGGGGCCAGGCTCCTCTGTCCATGGAATTCTCCAGGCAAGAATACTGGAGTGGATAGCCATTAGTCTAGGGATCTTCCCAACCCAGGGATTGAACCCAGGTCTCCCTCATTGCAGGCGGATTCTCTACCATCTGAGCCACCAGGGAAGCCTGCATTATAGAGCGTGATGTTCTCTGAAGTCCACTAGCTCTTAGTGTAAACCATCAGGAGAAGAGACTGAAAGGTGAAATTAAAGAATGTGAATGATACCAATTTCTTCGTGGTAAAATACAAGACTTATCCCCAAATTAAAAAAAAAAAATCCAATACGGAAGCATTTCTTAGTGGTAAAATCAGAGAAAGAGGTGTGAATTACAGGCCTGCTGCGTGTGACTAGATTCTCACCCTCCTAGCCCCTCTTCTAAGGCCTCCTGCTTTGACATTAAGTGGTAGAGCTGGCTCCTAGTTCCTTTCTTTCCTCTTACAATAAGGAAGGTCTCCTCTGTTCGGCTCAGTCAGTCAGTCAGCAAAATGTCTACTGAGGAAGGGGGTGAAATGAGAGTAAATATCAGAGTGCATTTAAATGTAGAGTATTAATCAGTAAAACTTCCTTCTTAGGATGAAGTGATCATGAAACAAACCCAAAGTCTCTTAGTAACTACTGAGTGTTTTGGTTTAAAAACCTTAGAGCATTTTTAATGCAGTGAAAATCTCAAATCCAGATTCACCTTTAATTCTAATATATCTATAACAGTGATGGTATACTAATTAACAGAAAAAAAAATGTAATCTGAAAACATCACCGATCATTGACCCAGAAAGAACAGGTTTCCCATTTGGGTTTTTGGGGTTTTGTATCAGACACCTTTATTGGAGAAGGCAGTCGAAGAGTTATATGGAGGGTCAATGAACAGTTAAATATCACTTTGACAGTTAAATGTCATATATGATACTCAACTGTGATATGAACTGGAACAGCTGTTTTTCATATAGGTTTTTGTAATTATCCACAATTTGTTTCTAAAGAAGAAAACTCATTTTGAATGATTGTTCAGAGAAAAAGGCAAGTTTTGAGTTCTACTCTTCACTTCTCCAGATGGACAATCACTGGGTTCCAGAAAGAGTGAATCTGGTAGAAGCAGGCATTACATGTTTAGTATGTCAGGTTGTAACTCTCTCTATAACAGCACAAAACTACCAGCAAGAACCCTGCCAACATTGGGTAACCTGATGGTGACTGATTTTACACTTTGCCAGTTAGATGGGGATTATGGAATCACTGTGTTATTAAGGCTCTTTCAGAGTCCTTTCTCTTTGCAAATGACCAGATCATTTAAGACAGAGCTGTCTCAAACTAATGAGTGTCAGCACACTTTGACAGAGGCCTGTTTGGTAATGAATAGTTAAGGTCTAATTTAAATTAGAAGAGTGAAGGAATGAACCTTTGAGAGGCTTGTACAGTTTGACTGCTTGACTTTGATAGGACAGCCAATCTGCCAATATGTTTCCCTACCTTCTCCCATAAGGTGGGCTTTGTTTGGTGGTTAACTGAAATAGCTCAAAGCATCAAACAAATTTAATAGATCATTTGAAAATGAGTAAATAGGTTTCTCTATATGGGCAGGAGTAGCAGTAAGAAATGTTGAAAAGATAGGGAAATGCTCATGGTTTAGGATTAATTGTATTTTCTTGTCAAAAGATGGGTTGACATCTACTACACTTAGAAAAACCGCCGTCCCCTCCCCATATTTTTGGTGTTAAGATTAATCTATTAGAAGTAGTGGCAGTCCCCAAGGAGTGTTAAGTGGGCAGTGGGAGCCTGAGGTATGTATTGAGGTCATGGAGGGTTGATTTTTGAGAACACACAGGAGACTCCTGGTCATAAACTCCTTAGGATTAGAAGAGACAGAGTGGCTTTACTATTAGCCACTCAGGTTTTAACTCCAGTGGCTTGTAGTCAGTACCCCTCTCCTGTCCAGAAACAAACCATGGGAAGTCAAAAGAGGGCCATGCCAGCCGCACTGAACCATGCCTTTTCCCTCTCACTCTCACACATTTGAGATGCCAATTGTCCGTTTCAAGGCATAGGGATGACTAGAGACTTCTGCCTGCAGTCAGACTATGTCTAGCCTAAAGACTTAGATTTGTAGGATTTTGATGTAGAAACGATGTCAGATTAGGAAATTCAAAACCTAGACTGACTGACTTGCCTGTGGTCACACAGCTTAAATTCCCATGTCTGCTGCCTCCTAGCTCAGGGGCCTTTCCACAGGAAAATAGTGCAACACCATCTTGTGTCATATCAACGATTTGATGCCAGAAAACATAGTTTGGTACTTAAGTCCAAAAGAATGGTGATTCTGATAGGTAGCTGAGCAGTCCCTGGTGTTGGTGGGGAAAGAGGTTGATCTACAAAGACATCATGTTCTTCATTGTGTATAGCTTAAATAACAGTGGGCCAGTTCTGCAGCTGAAGAATCTGGACAGGGGAATCTTTGGGGTGATGAGAAACTAAAATCTTACAAAGCAGTCCTTCTGAGGCTTCCTATTAGCATCTATACTAGATAACAAGGCCTTTCTAACAAACTTGGTATCTTTTCAGAATCAAAATTTGTTTTATTTATATGTACAGTGCTACATTGTTCATAATTTTTCAGGAGCTATCACCAAGACATTGAAAAGATTTCATTTCCTATAGTCCATTCAGACGTTTTCCAGGATGTCAGTGAAGGCGCCTATGAACTAAATTTGTCCACATGCTTTGAACTCAACCCTATTCCTAACAGCCAGGTGTCATTTGTCTCGGTCACCAGTCAGCTGAATTAAGTTCTTGGTGTCATAAGCCTTTTGGAACCAGAATTCCTTAATCTCTGCTGTACTTCACACCATGGTAGTCAGAAATTGTTTTAACTTTTCAGTTGAGGACTTCTTTAACATTAGAATCATCATGTACCACTTTTCACATGAAATTGAGTGTTTGATGTACCCCAAAACTGAGTAGAGAACTTATTCACAACTAAATTTTCTTGGTTATAAGCATAGATTTTAGGAAATGCTTTTACTTTTCTGTTTGGTATAAACTTTGTCTTATATTTCTGTTAAATTTTTAAAATATTTTTTTAAGTTATGGAAAATGGTTATATAGGAACCAGTGTTTACTTGGTTATTATTTCTGGTGCAGTTTAGATAAAAAATTGATGAGGAAACCAAGATATGATTCTCTGCCCTCTAAACTTCTGTTACAGAACTCATAGGAAGTTGTCGGTCTCAAAGAATTATGATCAGCCTAATTCTTGGAGTTTGAAATAGCATTTTGTTTGATTTATTTAAATATTTATGAAGTTGGAATTTGTTTTGTCAAAAATGTCAAGGTGTTTTTTTGTGCTTTTTGTTGTGATAATTCTGTAGGAATGAAAATTTCACTTAAACATGTGACCTAAAGAACTTAATGGAGTACAATACAAAGTTTCATTATACAGTAAAAGCAAAGATTTGACATTCTTCTTGACTAAAATATTTGTCTTCATTTTGGGCATGACCTGTTTATTCTTCACGTACTTTGACCTTTGTGAACCTTTGCTATCTGTAGATAAATACCTTAATTCCATCAAATTGGAGATTCATTCACACTGGAGCCTTTTAAGTACTTGGCAGCTACTCAAAGACTTGTTTTCTTTCTCTTGTTCACAGCAATGTTATCGAATCTTTATAAGTTGTCTCCCAGTTTCTTAAATGCTCTCTGGGGACTATTCTACACACTGATCACCAAACCTCATTCCATCTTGCCGTGACTGGAGTTGAGTGCTGTTTCAGTCACTTCCTGCATTTCCTGATTCCACATACTGAAACTTTTCCTGCAGTAGCTCTTCTGCCTAGAGCATCGTATTTCCAGGTACTTCTCAACTCCATTTAGGTGATGTCTGGTACAAACTCTTCCTTAATCTGTCATTCCACAGGACCATAGTAGAAACCAAAGACTGAGCTTAGTTCATTTCTTACTGCAGCAAAAGACTTCTTGACAAAAGTATCCCGTTACTGCAGTACTGTTACTCATATGTTCTGATTAAAAAAAAAAATCTCTTCTCATGGCCATATATATGACAATACCTGTCAATTGAATGACTGTATATGTAACATTTAGACTACTATTAGGCAAAACGTATCCCCGCAGATTGTTCTTATTTCCTCCTCATGATACCTTCCTCCTAATGGATGCAGGTCTTTGCCTAGAGGGATGAAACTTGAGCAGATATATCACAGGTTTATCCTCTCTTTTCTGAATTTTAAAAGCAATAACTTTTCTTGTACTGATCAAGAGTGGAACAGAGGCCTGTTAGATTGTACCTCTTAAATGTCTCATTAGTCCTCCTGGTTCTCTGTAGAGTTATTGAATTGAGAGAAGAGGGGTGGAACTTTTGACTACAATTAAGTGGTAACATCCTTCTTACGTTTCACGTTGTAGGTAGTGGAACATCCGTTTATGATCAAGTAGAATGTTTTTCAACAACCTTTTCTGCAGTTGATGCAGATTTATCTTTGATAAACTATTTGGGCTCAGAAACTTAACTTCACCAAAGCTTTTTGGTCTTCATTTATTTTCTACATGGAATTGATGCAACAGTTGACTTTATCCAGATTTATAAAGCTCAATAAAATTGCCTCAAAACATGAGTTAAGAGAAAAATTGTGAGTTTTACAATAAAGGCCAAAATCAGTTCTAGCAAACATCATGGAATTATCAATAAACCTGCATTCTGTACTGGCTTTGCTTAGAATCACTTCAGATTTACA